ATTCTAACCTTTTATATTCCATGCATTTATAGTATTGATAATTAATAATTAATAATTAATAATTAATTTAATATTTGTAATAATATATTAATGGCGTAATTTGTAAATTTAGTAAAGGGTAAAAGTGTCCAAAAATGTTTTTCCTACGTCCTACCTTTTTAATATAGTATAGATATAAATATAGATTTGTTGCAGAAATGTTGAATATTAAACCGGTTCGATTTTACTACTAAGTCGAACCGAGTTTGAACCGGTTCGTTTCACATCCCGGCCTGCGGCTATAAATACTGTTTTCTGACATTTCTTAAACCCAAGCTGAGCTTTGGATCTGAATCAGGAAGAATCAGGAGGAAGATTTGAGGAGCAGAAATTGAGATTCAGACACCCAAATGTGTGGGATTTTCGCGTATTTGAACTACAACGTCGACAGAGACCGGCGCTTCATTCTTCAGGTTTTGTTCAATGGCCTCCGTCGTTTGGAGTACAGAGGCTACGATTCCGCCGGAATCTGTGTTGATTCGTCTCCTTCTTCGCCCTCCCAACTCAATTGCGATCTGAAAAGCAACGGCCAATGCTTCCCTCTTTCTCTTCCTCCGCCTCCCCTCGTCTTCCGTCAGGCTGGCAACATCGATTCCCTCGTCAAATCAGTTCATCAGGGTTTGTTTTTCTTTTCTCTTCTGATATTGATTACTGATCTTCGTTCTGTTCTGTCCTGTTTACTTAACAATTGAATGAGAGGAATTATCATTGTTATCGTTATTTCACAATGGAATGTCTGATTAACATTGTATTATTTATATTCTGAAACGTTAATTAGCAGTTAATTGAATTCTGAGTGAATGTTCTTAATTGGGTCGGATATTTCACGGGTGGAGCCGAGTTTGTATGTGTGGGATCATGGCCGACAATGCCAGCGTGATCTCACACACTGCTCTGCTCGTTTGTTTTTCAAGGAAAAAGGGCAGCGCCAGAAGAAAGCAACTGTTTCTGCTTTTGCTGATGATTGACTTATGATAGTTCATTGTGATTTTTTTTTCCTTTTGAATTATTGATCATGAACTTATTTCCTTCCTTCGCCTTGGAAAATTTTAGACGGAGCTAATTAGAGGCAATATAAAATTTTCAGAGGTTGCAACAATCAATTTGAATTTGGAGGAACACTTCTCTGTACATGCTGGAATTGCACATACCCGGTGGGCAACTCATGGAGAGCCAGCTCCAAGGAATAGTCATCCTCAGACCTCTGGTCCTGAAAATGAATTTCTGGTTGTTCACAATGGAATTGTTACAAATTATGAGGTTTGTCCAGAGATATCACTAAGTTACTCGATTGTAATTTCAAAATTTTGGAGTCTTCAACTATTCATAATTCCACAAGTCAAATTCATATTTTACTTTTATTGTGAGTATTTGACTCAATGGGAATGTGGTTCTATGCAAGTAATGCTGCTTTCAAATTTGATATTTATTATAATTTAATTTGCTCCAAAATTTTATTTCCCCTGCACTAGGTTACCTTCTGCTTGACCTTCGAAATTCTTATGTTCAGGTCTTGAAGGAAACACTAGTTCGTCATGGTTTTGTTTTTGAATCTGATACAGACACGGAAGTAATTCCAAAGCTGGCAAAATTTGTTTTTGACAATGCAAGTGAAGGTATGGAAAACTTTCGCATAATAATACGAGTCACATGTTGAATAACAAGACGCCAATGAAGCAATGGTTACAGTTTTGTCTGTTTCTTTAGTTTATTCAAACACAAGATGGCAGCAACGTATTAATATGTCTTTACACTGAAATTTACAGAATATGTTTTTTATTATTTATTTATTTATTTATTGTTTTAAGGAAACATCAGAATATATTAACAAAAGGGCCAAATAACAACCTAGGGGTCGGGGTAGAGAAATCAACTTTGAAACAACAGTTATCCAAATATGTTTCTATTGAAGTTTGTTCTAAAAACTGAAAAGACTTATTGAGGACAATTCCTAACAGCCATTTAGCCTCTTTGATGAACAATCTAGAATTTAATCTGTTTATGTTTTTTCGAGTAGAAATGCTACTTATCATGCGTTTATATTCTGAGCTTGCTCATCCGAATAGTTTTTCTAGTGTTTATTGGAAAATTATACTTCGGTTAATGATGGATCATGTGAGTATGATGTCATGTTTGCTGTTACAGGCGGTCAGGCTGTCACATTTAGTCAAGTTGTGCTTGAAGTTATGAGACATCTGGAAGGAGCCTATGCGCTTATTTTCAAAAGCAGACATTATCCAAATGAATTGATTGCTTGCAAGCGGGGTAGTCCGTTGATCCTTGGAGTTAAAGTAAGTTCAGGATAATCCTAGAAGATAATGGGTTGTTTACTTCTTCAGCTTTTTGGTTTTTTGTTTAATTATAATTAAATTGTTTTTAGTTCTTTGTTTTGTTTCCTTTTTATTTTGCTGTTGTTGCTTTTTTATTTTTATTTTTACTTTTTATTGTTTAATTGGTTTGTCTTAACATTATATCTCCATTTGTTTACTGAGATCCTTTTTACTGCATTAATTGTTTGGTTGAATTTGACCGAAGCATATGAATATTATCCTGAGGGGGTTGAAAACATCAACATATTTCCTGGTATTTTTCTGATTTTCATGCATCATTTTAGTATTTGACATTGATTTTAGTTGGATAGCTCTTTAACATCAGTTGGAATATATATATATATATATTGGAAATTTTTAGGATATTATTTAAACGCAGATATATGTATATATAAAAAGGTCCCTAGATTTCCTTGGTATTTTCTTGTCATTTCAATGACCAGTATTTATGTATTATTTAAGCTAAAATTTGAGAATCCTTCTAGTCCCTTGGAGATTGATATTTGCCATGGAGACATCGTTCAAGTTTGAATCTTGTAACCACATTTCATGTTGAGATTTTTCCTTTTGTGTTTAATGTTGAGTTGAATTTTGTGTCTAATAGGTTATAGTTTTGGCACCTGTTGTATGCCCCTTGTGTATTTTTTTCCTCAATGAAATCTTGGTACCTTTTTCAAAAAAAAAAAAAAAAATTTGTGTCTAATAGGTCTATGAGTTTTAAAAAATGTCAAATAGGTTAATGATCTAACAAACACAAAATTAGAAAATTAGAAGTTTAGGGATTCATGAGGTACCTTTTAAAGTTTAGATACCTATTAGATACAATCCCAAAAGTTCATGGACTAAACCTGTAATTTAACCTATTCTATTTGATGAACTTTGATAGTATATTCTGCAATTGTAAATGTCACATTCTCTAACTTCTTTCCTCCTTTTTTGTTTTTATTTCATTTACCATTTCAGGATTTAGCCGAAGATACTTGCAATGGATCAGCATTCAATGATGATAAGTTCCTTTCAAAAAATGGACACCCAAAAGAACTTTTCTTATCCAGCGATGCTAATGCCGTCGTAGAACATACAAAGAAAGCTTTGGTTATAGAGGATGGTGAAGTTGTTCATCTTAAGGTCCTATCCTCTTTCTTTTTCTTTTTCTTTTCCACCTTCTAACCTTTTGGATTGCAACCATAGCTAGGGTTTTCAACCTGTTCTTTTGAACTTGGCATTTATCTTCATCTTTTCTGAGCATATACTGTATAAGTTTACATGTTGGTTTTGACCGATGAGGAAGTTGTCTGAGTCTCATTTTGAAGCACATGCACAAGTTGGTTTTAGTATTACAGGAGGTTGAATCTTTTCTTACTCCAACTTATCACACCTTAATATGGAGCGTCTTTTAGGGTAGGGTACAAATCTTTTTTCTTTTAGGCATACTTCATTATGGGATTCTTCTTCTGGAGGTCTGAAACTAAAGAAAGATACATCAAGAAATTGTTAGTTTTGACTGTTATAAACAAATGACTCTTATGTTGTTTGCTTTAGGATGGAGCTGTATCTATTTTGAAGTTTGACAAGGAGAAGGAAAAAAGTGGTGGTTCTCTTTCTAGACCTGCATCGGTGCAACGTGCGCTATCTGTTCTAGAAATGGAGGTTGAGCAAATAAATAAGGGAAACTACAAGCATTACATGCAGAAAGAAATTCACGAACAACCAGAATCTCTAACGACCACAATGAGGGGGAGGTTAATACGTAGGGCTTCTTCCAAAGACAGGATTGTTCTATTGGGCGGGCTAAAGGATCACCTTAGAACAATAAGGCGCAGCAGGCGAATCGTTTTTGTTGGTTGTGGTACAAGCTATAATGCTGCTTTAGCTGCCAGACCTTTCTTAGAAGAACTCTCTGGTATTGAAAGTTAGATTATAAACAGATCTTCCATTTGTGAGATTGGTAGTTACTAAATCTTTTTTTACTTTTGTTTGTTTCTCTGATGTAGGTGTTCCTGTTACAATGGAAATTGCTAGTGATCTGTTGGATCGCCAAGGGCCAATATATCGAGAAGATACAGCTGTTTTTGTCAGTCAATCTGGTGAAACTGCGGATACCTTACATGCCCTAGAGTATGCTTTGGAAAATGGTGCGTTGTGTGTAGGCATTACGAATACAGTTGGTAGTGCAATAGCCAGGAATACACACTGTGGAATTCATATAAATGCGGGTGCCGAGATTGGTGTTGCAAGTACAAAAGTGAGATTGTGTTCATTTAACTTTCTTTTTTTTTTTTTTTGGTTCAATTTCCTATTGATGGCCCTCATTATAAATAACTTTAAAAACTTACAGGCATACACAAGTCAAATAGTTGTGATGGCCATGATGGCTCTTGCAATTGGTGGAGACTCAATCTCCCATGAACCAAGAAGAGAGGCTATAATTGATGGTTTGTTTGACTTGCCAAGTAAGTCTTCCTTCACTTCACTTATATTCATTCTTATTTATTTATTTATTTTGGTTTTAATCCTTTTCTGGACTCTAAACTTTCATGTTTTTTCTGTTTCGATCTCTTAACTTTTAAACGTTTCATTTTACTCTTTGTAAAAACCTGACATAGATGCATTTTTTTGTTAATTTACTTGATCAATAAATTAATGCTTACATGGACAAAGTATTTGAAATCAGATTTAGAAGGTAAAAGGAGGATTTAGACCTTTGTTTTTTAATTGTCTTTAGCATCTCCATTTTTGCTGTGAGCTTGCAAAAAATCTACTCGTATAATAGCTAGCGAAGGTCAAAATTAAATGTTATTTTTGTCATTTATAACTTCAGACAAAGTGAGAGAAGTGCTGAAACTTGATCAGGAAATGAAGGATCTTGCCAAACAACTGATTGCTGAGCAGTCACTTCTTGTGTTTGGGAGAGGATACAACTACGCCACAGCACTTGAGGGTGCTTTGAAAGTAAAGGAAGTCGCTCTTATGCACAGTGAAGGATTGCTTGCTGGGGAAATGAAACATGGTCCTTTAGCATTAGTCGACGAAAATCTCCCGATTGTGGTTATTGCTACACGTGATGCTTGCTTCAGGTTTATTTCTTTGCTGCTGTAAAATTTAGAAATCTTCTGGAATCTTCAATTTACCTAGTATTCAATCTGTTAACAGCAAGCAGCAGTCTGTCATCCAGCAACTTCATGCCCGTAAAGGTCGCCTGATAGTAATGTGTTCTCAAGGGGATGCAGAATGTGTGTGCCCTGGAGATTCCTGTAGAGTAATAGAAGTTCCACAAGTCGAGGATTGCCTTCAGCCCGTCATTAATATCATTCCATTACAGGTATGGATATCACTTGACCTGAAAACACAATACAATAGCCAATTCAGACTAATAAAATATAAGTAAAAAGATTGATCTACTCTAAGAGAGAAGCTTCATATCATAAACTTAAATACAAAATAAATGTAACTCAAATGGCGTAATCTAACAGTAAAATACACGCAATCTAATGGTTGCCACTCGTATTAGTTCAGGTTTGTCAAATTTTCAGTTTATCTGATAGTGCAGTGAGAATTGGAATACTTTTTCCAAGTTATACATCCATGAGTTTATATAGAAGTTTATTTATGTTGGATTATGACATACCCCTGTCCTGGTTTGTGCAGTTATTGGCATATCATCTCACTGTTCTTAGGGGTTACAATTGTGACCAGCCTAGGAATCTTGCCAAGAGTGTCACAACCCAGTAGGGAACTACCTCCATTGACAATATCCTTATGCTTCTTTATCTCTTTCCACCTCGGAAGGATTCGGCTTCTTTGTGCCACGGTGCTCGGGATCTCGTGTAGATCGTGACATTTCGTCTGATGATATGATTTTTAGTGGGGTTGTGAGTCTTGTCCATTGTAAATTGGTAGATAATTATAGCTGCGTTGCTTTCACAATTCTATTCATTTTAAAGATAATGTGGTTAGTTTTCATGATCATGATATGTTGTATTATGCTTCATTCTTATTAAACAATTATTATTTTTTCTACTTCTGAAACCCTCTTTCTCTACCCCCAGTTGGATGAAATATCATCAACTTTTTAGTTGTGATGTATGTTATTTTCTATCATTTCAAATTACCAAACTAGATAAAGCATGAAAGTGAAAAAGCTCTCATTCATTAGGGTAGATCGAAAATGGGAGGAGACGACGAGTTTAAAATGGCTTGCTCAATGGGTTCAGGCTTCTTTGGATAGTAACATGAATATTAGATCCTTGGCTATGCAAATTTCCCATGCTATGTCTTAGCCTTTTAGGGGCTCATTTAAACTCCATATAAATTGCCAAGATTTCAAATTGCTTTCAACATCAGTTTTTCTATCATGTAGAGTTTCCAATTCGTTAACATTGTGCTTGCCATCTTTCAAATAGTGTCAAGATTGGGAAGTTGCAAATAACAGAGATAATTGGAGTTTGTGTATCTCCCTCTTTTTAAGGAAATTCAAGGTTTTTATGGTGTGGGTTTCTTTTTCAACTACTGGTAAAAGGTACAACTCAGAGCTCTCGAGTAGAGAGAAGAAATATGAGAAAGTGTAGAAGGATTGGATTACTATTCCTATTTAAATTATTATTTTGTAAATAATTATTGACTTTTTTTTGTACAGATGATTTATCTCGGTTAAAAATGGAAAAAACGACAAAAAAAAAACAACAAAAGAAAAACTATGGTGGTGGTAATTGATTATGTACCTTTTCTTTTTCTTCTTTTTCTTTTCTTTGTTGGATAGAGATTGGAAGCAAAAACACAATAATGCACGAATATGGATCCAAAGTTATGTATTTAATTTGTAATCATTGTCTAATATATTTTCATCGTTGATTAGCCTTCGCATTGATTTTGTTATTTTAATTTTGTTATAGCTACTATACCATAGTAACAAACACATCAATATGAAAACACTGCATCTTCTTAAAAAGCATGAAGTAATTGAAGAAAGTCGTAACTGTCAGGTTTTCCAATAATGTATTTAATTTTTAACCATTGTCTAATATATTTTCATCATTGATTGATTAGCCTTTGTCTCTGTTATAGCTACTATACTGTAGTAACAAATACATCGATAAGAAAGCACTGCATCTACTTAAAAAACATGAAGTAATTGAAGAAAGTTGTAGCTGTCAGGTTTTCCAATGTCGTTGGATCTTCTTAAAAAACATGAAGTAATTGAAGAAAACTGTAGCTGTCAGGTTTTCCAGTGTCGTTGGAGCCATTAAGAAGAATGTATGGTTTAGCCAATGCTGAGAAGAAAACAGAAATTGTTGTGTTTCTAATCCTTTCATTTCATGGTAGAAATTGTTTAGATGGACATGGCACTGGACACTCGGTTGTGTGCATGCGATAGGCATGTTTTTTAAACACAACCTCTTTCTTGATCCCCTTCAAACTCCTTCCTCCTCTGGGCTCTTGTTGGTCTTATTCGCTTTTCAAAATTGACAAGATATGTCATGGATCCAACGAAGCTTCCTCCTTTTAAGATACCTCTCCTCTTGATTTTGACTCTTGAATCTCTTGCATGTGTATAGACCCTAGACATACAACTCTTTCTCATAGAACCAGTGTGCTTAATCAATTAGGTCTAGTTGAACATAGACATACGAAAACAACTAATCTAACCCTCTAAACGAGTTAAAAGCGATCTAGAACAGAACTAGAACATAATTCACGTCAACTTTGGTTGATATAGTGACCACCTAGTTGGTGTACTTGTGTTATTTATTTACCGAGGCAATTCTTGTTATCACGTACTCTTTATCAATTCTATTTACTCTTTATTTTCCAAAAATCAATATCAATTTATTTGATTATCCCCCATCAATTGCATTATTATAAGAAATTTCACACTTCCTCTCAGGTTTTGCGTTTCACACTTCCTTTTTCTTTTTAAATACATATTGTTGTCTTTGACGTTAAGACTTTTTTTTTTCCAATTAGAAGTTAAAAGTATTTTTTTTCTTTATTTATTATTATTTAAATTTTTTTAGTTCGGGAGCAGGAGGGGATCTACATTGCAGTCGGGGACACGTGGCCTTCTGAAATTAACAAAAAAAGTTATATTTCTATAAATTACATCAGAAGTTCGTGCCCTGTTGGCTTTTGTGAGCCCCTGTGCAATCTGGACTCTAGTGGTCCTATAGCATGATTCTAAATTTTAATTTTTTTTATATTCTTTTAATTTTCGTATTTTAAATTAGAAAATATTTTGAAAACTTATTATTTTTATTTAAAGCAAATAATTAAAAAACTTATATTGTGAGTTATACTTATTTAATGATGTATTCAGTTAAGGCATCATGTTTTTTTTTCTTTAAATATAGACAATTTTAAAATTAGGATTTCAAAATCGTCGCTCCATCTACTTATTCTTAAGAAAATATCATTATAGATTCCATTTCATCCTTTAAAAAACATCATTAGCCTCAAACAAATATATATAATATATATATATTTATTTAAGAGACTTTTCAAATTATTCACTACACTTTCTACTTTTTGGATTGAAATCCTTTTTGTATAGATAATCTGACTCTCTTTTCTGTTGAATTTTTTTTCCCGCTTTGATTCTCATCAACAAAAGAAAAGAATATATTTAGGCAAAATACAATATTTGAATTCGGTATCTAATTAGACCCTATAGTTTCAAAATTGATATTTTTAGTCCCTCAATTTTGAAAAATAATTCTAAATAATCATTGATCGCATTTGAACAATAGAAATGTGACAGGACATTGAACAATAGAAATGTGACAGGACAAGGAACAAAATAAAGTTCCGCTCCTCTTTCTCTTCCTCATTCTCTCATCTTTCTCATATATCTCAAATCCTTCCTTTCCAAGTCTTTTGAATCCAGATGTGGGAAAGGAACAAAATAAAGTTCCATGAACAAGAAGCAGAAGGTAAAACAAAACCCAGAAGATGATGCAAGTGAGTACCAAAATCTGCATCACAATGTTTCTACTAAAATAGTACCTCGTGAGCATAAAGGAAACCCATCAGCACCAACATCGCAATCCCATTGCCATGAAATGATCCCTCTACATCGGCTTCTGGTTGTGAAAATAAGACCAAATGGGACTGAATTTCTCCGACGACAACAAATTAATCGGAAAATCTACAAGCTAGATGAACCTTACCATGGACGTGGTGGGTCGTTTTGTTCTTGTCCCTCTCCTCTCTCGTTTTTACCTCGTCGCTTTAGCCACAACTTGCACATGACCCAGAGTTGGTATGTTCCTCTCTCATTTGGAACTAAATTGGAAATGAGGGGAAGCTTCCCTTCCCTCCAGATTTGAAACAAAGGGAGTTTTGACGGGTATCGACTCAGATATGGAGAAAGAAAAGAAAACGAGAGAACGATGTAGAGAAAGAGGAAGGGAAGGATGGGACTCCATTGCTAGCGACAGCAGCAACAACAATATAAGATTAATATAATTTGCTAAGTTCGCAAGTCCAGTTAACAAGTATAGCTATGTCATATTTTTGCTAGTTAACTAACGATTAAATGGGCTCCTGAATTATTTAAAACCTTATTTTTCAAACTTGAGAAACTAAAAATGTCCCTTTAAAATTCCACTCAAACTAAAAATTCCACTCAGGGACAAAAAAATATATTTTGTCAAAAAATAATAATAATAATAATAATAATTAGAATGAATTTTTATGCCAAATTTAAGAAGAGAACAAAGTGTTTTAAAAGTCCTCAAGATCACCTTTTTTCGAGGAAGTTTGATAGTATGTTGGCTATTATATAAGAATCTTGAAACTTGGAAGGAAAGTCATAAGAGTTTTGAAGGCAAGAAAAGAACCCCAAGACCAAGACATATGAAATATCTGTAAAGATTAGTATCTCTCAAGTATATTACTATACTGATCATATGTTCCTTTCCTTATGTATGTCAATAGAATAGCCCTTTTCTTAATCTTCTTTGCTCGATTCTATCGAAAGATATACGATCCTCCTCGCTCTTGTACCTGAATACTATTCCTTTTCTCTTTTCCTATAAACATATATTGTGATCAGGATACCAAATGTTCTTAATCTCCATAATTTTTTTTTTTTTGAAATCATCTCCATAATACAAACACAAATGAAGGATAGTTGAAGAAGAATATGGATATTTGTCCTAAATATCAAATGAACATGTAAGCTATATAAAATACATGTACATCTCTTTAACTACCGAAAGATTACTTTTGCAATGTACAATTTACAAGCCCAAATTTTATGGCTATAAGGGCAACACAACGAAAACAACACATCTTTCTGTGAGTAGCCAAAACCAAACACAGCCACAAGCAGAAATACAAGCTCATCGAGAGAGATATAAAGCACAAGACGACTGGTAAAATGATACGGACTTCTAGGATTCTAATAACTCGACCCAAGCAACAATCTGCCTTGCTTAATTCAGCGAATAGTATAGACTTGAAGGATTGGGGACTAAATATTTTTAGCGAGATCTTTATATGAAAACAATAGCCCCTTTTCCCCATCAGACAGGACTATCAGGAAACAAAGACTATACAAAACAGAAGCAATCCGCAAATAGTAGAAGCAAATTTACCATACCAGCAAAGCCAGACTCTTGAACAAAATCCTCGGGAAATCCACAACATTTCTTTGTCGCTATCTACGATGTCGCCCTTAATTCACTGTCTTCAAGTGGAAGATTCTGCACCTCATTCTGAAAGTTTTTGACAATCCAAAGAAGTAACCTCTTAATTAAAATTATATGAGTTGCAACTATTACTATGACTAGATTGTGATTATATTAATTACAATATAATAATATCAAATGCTCGAAAATACAATCCCAAAGCCTCGTGACCATAAATTTAAAACAAAAACGTACTGTAACATAAACAAGACCATCAAGTTAAGAATTCAAACTTGAATACTCATCCTATTGGTATAAGTTGATTCCCATTACCTAAGAATGCATTAATTCACAAGGCCGGCCTTAGTCTCAATCTATGATACTTGCAAAAAAGAACATGAACATCTATTCAAAATTAAGAAAGCAGTCCTCACCCCATCACCCACACTCACTCAAAGTACAGGCACCCAAGATTATATTACGATATGGCACGACCAACTACATTGCCGTGCCACAATGGTCATTGTTATTCTTTGAAGAAAAACAGTGAGAGCATTGATTCAATTTTCAAAAATGTTCAGTCCATCCATCGTCATGCTTCTAAAACTTCAAATTCTATCACAAAAAATGAGTTAGATATCCTATGTATTCCTCTAAATCAGACTAATGAGCTAAAACGGTATGTTTCCACCATAAATCATTAATCTAATGCCAATTATTGACTAGGAGGAAGCAAACCAAGGAATTAAAGAGAAGTAAAATTTTATAACCATATTAATCAGTAATATTTTAAGAACATGAATCAACAAATATTCCAGTTCTACATAAACAAGGTAAATCGGGAGTTATTGTAATGAAAAGTAGCTCAACATGCCTGCCCTGAAATAACTATAATACCGATGCTTGCTGATCCATAATCAACAACAAATATTTTCCAAAACAACGAAAAATTCAACACAAGATATCAACATCAAATAAAATCTGTTTAATCATATCAATTCGCAACATGTGAAATAGACGATAAACAAAAAAAAAAAAAAAAATAGCTCCGATTGGACGTACCTTTGAGAAAGCCCCATACCTATGAACAGGGGCTCCGCCCGCGGCGGAAGATTGATCAACTGGATCAGCCGCAGTGCAATCAGGCGGCGACTCAAAGAGGGACAGAGAGAATTGCTTGTCGACGACGCCGACGTCGAAATGAATCACACCCGAGGTGGACAAATCGAGACGGATGCCCTTGACAGGAAACCAAAGAAAGAGCTCCTGCGACGAAATCCCGGCCAATTCAGCGATCTGGCCGTAGCTGAGTACGCCGGAGACGTTGAGATCATAGTGAACTTCGTTCTCGAACTTGGCATTGCAAGGCTGGTCGAGGAAGACCTGGAACCGGCCGGTGGCGGAGTCGACGGAGAAATTGGTGATGTTCTTGGGGAGGAGGCCTATGGGGAGGCCGTGAAGGTGGAGATGGTCGTAAATGGTGGATGGATCGGCGGAGGCGGAGGCGGAGGCGGAGAAGGAGAAGAAGAGGAGGAGAATTAGGATGAGTGAGAAAGGGGAAGAGAGAGAAAACATGGCGGAATTTGGAGAAGGAGAAGGAAGAAGAAGTGTAGGGATTGTGAAGAAATTGTGATATGGCGTTGTGGGAGAGAATTTAGAGGTTGAAGAATGGCATTCTCAGCCTCAGGTTTGCGTTTCGCACTTTCACGCGCTTTGCAGTTTGCAGCAGCGACTGAAATTTTTGTTTTAGGGCTCCTTTTCTAAAAATAGTATAAACTTGTTTTTTTTAAACCAAAGTTCAGTTTTCTTAATATTTGGCTAAATATTAATTTGGGCTAAAGTTTATAAAGGTTTCTTTTCCCCTAATCTCATGTGGGCTCAGGTTTATTTGGATTTGGGTTCAACTTGGGCTTATTGAGTTTGGACCAACACTATGTGATACGATTTTATTGAACTAATGATTTTTTTCGAGAATTTATGGGAGGTGTCCCTATTTATCGTCCGATTTCGAAAAACGGATAAATGATATTTGATAATGAAAAATATCTATTTATGTTTTTCTAACTGTTTTGTAGGTTTGATTTTGACATTTCTATCCTGATTGCAAGTGGGGTGGCTATATGTTGGGTTTCTACCGATTGTGTGGGTAGAGTTTCACGATTTATTCCTCTGTTCACCGTATTTGTTCCTCTATTCACCGTTTACATTGTTTTGGGTCATAGTATTTGTGTTTCTAATTACATTTTGTTTATTGGCGTTTATTATATATTMTTTAAGATAAAATTACCTAAATCTAAAAAAATTTAAGACAGAATTACTAATTCCCAATGTAGGCGGTCAATTTATACTTTCTACAATGTCATTTATCATTATACTTTGACAAAGTTCTTTTTTTAGTACAATATGTAGGGGTATGAGATTGAACTCACAATCTTTTGATTGGAGATATATGTTAACTATCGTTGAATTATACTCGTTTTGACAATTAAAGTTCATTAGTTTCTCTAATTATTAAATAGTAATATAATTGAGACACACCATAAGTTATTTTCAACAAAAGTCACACTAATTAAAAAACATGAATTTAGGTTGAGTTTTAAATTTTTAAGATAACATTTTGATTAAAAAAAATAGAAAAATTGTTAGAGCTTTTTTTAGTACAATAAATGTGGGGTGTGGTCCAAAGTGAGTCTAACTCGACAGTAATTGACATATATCTTCAACTAAAAAGTCGTGAATTCGATCCTTTTCCACACATGTTGTACTAAAAAAAATGTTGGGTGTGAGTATTTGAACCTCAAACATTGAGAGAATGAGTTTTATATATCTTTACCGCTAAACATAACCATGTAGCTTCCTTAGCTTCACTTCAAGTGAACCTAATACGATAATTTCTCGCATAACCATCGTTAACCATTAATAAATAATAGGAATCAACAAAGATCTCCCAACTCCCCTCACCACAGAACAGTTGTGTTTGCCAACATCTTCGACCACCACAACCTCGTTCTTGACCCCAATGCTCAACTCGACGCTCATCTTTGAACGTTTTGGAGGAGTGAAACTCGAAATAAATGAACTTGATTTTGTTTTTGGTCTTTGGCTCAATTGGTTTTCTTTGGTCTTCTGCTTTTGGCCTCTTGGATATTCTTTGGGTTTTTGTTTTCTATTTTTTTTAGTGTTAGTTTAAATTTTATATTTAAACAAAAAAAACTATACATACTTGATTTTGGTCTTTGGCTCAATTGTTTTTTAGAATTTAAAAAAAAACATAATAAACTATATCTATTTTACTGAAAATTTATTAGTTACAAGTATAAATATTTAATTTTAGAAAAATATTTAATATTTTATTCATAATTTAGTAAAATAGTTAATAAAATATATATTGATTATTTAAAAAATAACATCGAGTAAGGGATCGAGACACGGTGAGAAATGAATTCCTTGTTTTAGAGACATGAAAATAAAAATTTAGAATGATAAAAAAAACTTTTCAAAAATAAATTTTAGGGGAAAAAGTTAGTCAGAGAAAAAAATTTTAGTGAGAAAAGTCCAAAACAAACATTTTAGAGAGAGAATAAAGTTTGTGAGCAAAAGACAGGTTAGAGAAAGAGATAGAAATTAAAAAAAAATTATAGTGAGAAAAAAATTAGACAACAAAGAAAGTTTGGGATATATTTGTTGGGAAAAAAATAAATTAAAAGCGAAAAATTTTAATAGATAAAAATTGGTGATATATTTGCCAGAGAGAAAATAGATTAGAAGGAGAGAAAAATTATAAAATGCAAAATTTGAAGAGAGATAGAAGTTTGGAAATTATTACATTTTTAGAGAGAGAAAAATGAAAGTGATGAGTTAGGACAAAAAAGAAAGAAATAAAATATATAGATATGAAAATTTTTGGGGGAGGGAGCGAGCAATAATAGTAAATATCCTAGATATTACAATTTTAGGGAGACAATTTTCTTTTTAGAGAGAAATTTAGGAAAGAAAAAATTTTTAAGCTAGAAAAAATTTTGTTGGAGAGAAATATGTCAAAGAAAAAAAAATTGAGATTTGGGAAAACAAAAATTTGTTTTTTAAAATTATTTTTTTGAGTTTTTAAAATTTACTCAGAATTTCGAAAACGTTTTTAGAAAACAGAAAATAAAAAATTGAACCGGAATAATTCTATCTTTATAAAATAAAAAATAGAAAATAGAAAATGGAATAATTATCCCATGGTCATTTAAATACGATTGGCTGTGGTTATGAATTTCCATGAATGGTTTGTGTGAATTGCCGATATCACTACACAAACATTCTACTCATTAGCTTCACGTTGTTGAACAAACAAATATAACATGGAGGAATCTCTTCACTCATTTGTTCAAAGATACATACAAATTCCAGATTGAGCTTTAAGGATGGCAAAATAAAATTGCAGTATACAGAAATGCAGCAGAGAAGTATAAATCGGAAATCAAGCACTTGTAAGAGTGAGTTCGAAATGACTTTTTAAGTGTAGTGCTTCTAGTTCCTATAATTTGTGAAGACAAAGTTTTAAACGACATATAGAACAAACCGCTTCTATTTGTATCCCTCTTCTAGTCTTTCCTAGCACAGTTTTTGATCTCCTCATCTTTCCTAGCACAGTTTTTGATCTCCTCATTTTAAGGGAAGCATTTCATTCTCTGCAGATAACAAAAAATCAGTCTATGTCTAAGCATTCATTGCATTCTAAAAACTTGGCCGTGCTTACCTGTCTTTCAATCTCGACAAAAGATGCAGCTAGCCTTTGCTTCAAAGTTGATCTCTCCTCTTCACAACGCTCCAAATTGGTATCTAAATGCAAAAGAGACCAAACAAATGATGCATATGACTCAAAAATATTTTAGGAGTTCATAATGGTTTCTCGATTTTCTGTGATGGGAATCCAAGGCCTATATAAGTATAACAGGGGAATGGCCTATGCTTGCATCTTAAACATCTCAAAGTTTTGTCCCCATGCTTATTTGCTCTAAGAGCTACGCTGATCAGAATAATTGAAAATATATCTTTCAGAGTAAATGTAAAACATAAGTCTTAATCCAACAAGTATAGCGTAGGACAGAAGATTGACATTCTCACCGTAATAATATGATGATAGTATTGATATGCGTTCATTTGGCTGAAAAAAAAAGATTATTGTCAATTTAGAACAAGAACAGTGATGAGAAAGATGAAAATAGCAATCAATGTAACATTGAACTAGGAAAAATTTTACTGAAGAGAAACAAATCAGTGGAGCATAGTAGAGTTGCAGAGTTTGTTATTATCATCCAAGTTGATCAAACGATTCAAACATTGTAAAGATGAATGACTAGTGTTTTCTTTTGAGTTTATTATTATCATCGAATTGATCAAACCATGTAAATATAAAAGGTAGAGTTTCTTTTGAATTTCCCACTCCACCCATGCATACATTAACTATCTAAGCTCTATTCAAAATATTATGGGGCATTTGGTACTTGATAATGAAGGTTGACGAATGAGCCTCAAATACTCACGTTACCATTGGACATTGGGATTCTTAGCCTGCTAAGAATAATTAACATAATAATTATCGACTTAAGATAATTTCAATAATTTTATAACTCTTCTTTAATTTAACTTTATATAACTATTTGGTTTATAAAAAGGATATAATTAGATTTATAGATTTTAGATAATAAATAAATCTAAGCTGTAGATCAAAGTTTACAAAATCTCATTTAGATGTACTAAACACCGTCATCCTGTTTTTAGCCCTCTTATTCCCATACATTTTATTCCATTACTGCATATTCAACGCCCCACTACTGCCAAGAAAGAAAGGGGAAAATATGCAAAGAAGTAGATTGAAAAATATAATAATGTGACCAGGAGAACATGTTTAGAGAAAGTGAGAAAATAAATAAATAAAAAAGAATAAGAAAGGCTTAAAAAGGATGCAACATTGAGATGTGAACCGCTGAAGTTAGAAAATATGCATTAAAGATAGAGAGCACAAACTTGAATAAGTTCTTAAAATCGCAACAAATGATAACTTATCGAGCTTGTACTGCTGTAATAAAAGAAAGCAAACTAAGTTTACCATTACAAATATACCCTCACGGCGAGTAGGGAGTTCTTCTAGCTTTTTCAATGTATCGTCACCTTTGGTAACTTTTCCAAAGATTGCATACTGAGAAAGTAGATGTGAACATATTTATTATCCTTCGTTCCATATATCTGAAGTAAACTGATATTTCAGTCTGATGTTTAAAATTGTGATTGCATACCTTGCCATCAAGATGAGGAGCATCTCCAAGTAGCATAGAAAAAGAGGATTGAGCACTGTCCGGATCATCATATCTAAGCAGATCACAAGAAACATTTAAAAGGAATAACAACCAAACTTTTCACTTACAAAAAAAGGAGACTTGATAAGGAATATAATAAAACAAAATAAAGTCAAGAGTCAGATAACTAGGCTAGGATGCATCGTGTAACATGAAAGATGGCATGTTAAACATCTAAATGACTGCATGGTTTACATACATATCATAAAGCACAAGAAAATAATGATTGAAGGAGAAAATGCTTCTTAATTCTTTTTCAAATTAGTATTCACATTGAAGCCAAATGATACAATCAAGTGGAAAATTGACAAAATATCCAATATCCAGCTGTTAGTTTTTTGGGTATAGGTAAGACCATTTCAGCTGAATACTGACAGATAAGGAAAGAATAGACCGTAGGAGCACGAACATAGACACAAGACACGGACAAGGCCCATGTAGGCGGACTTGAGACGAAAGAAAAAACAAGAGGAGCCTACAAAAAGAAACAACCCGGAAAAAGGAACAATCCATTCTTCACATTTCATTTAGTTTTCTTTTCCATTTTAAGTTTGTTCCTCTAAGCTGTAGCAGTTAATTTAACTTGATCTTGTAATCTTACAAGCCCCTCATGGCTAGTATCTGTCCTATTTCTTCTTTTCTTAACAATTCCTCCTTCTAGCTGGTCTCTAATTCTGTAGCAGAGCTGTCTAATTCTGTTTCTTGCTAAATTTAAGCCGAATTTATTCAAATCTAATTAGTCTTCATGTAGCTAGTTGAAACAATAAAAACAATATTTTAAACGTAGTTCAAAAACAGTACCCTAACATACCTACATCACAAATTCATCTTGTTCACAAGATGGAAGGATCCAAAGCACCTCATTTATATGCCTTCCTGCAAGATGATAGATCCAACTCTAATTTCAACAAGACTGCAAAAGGGTACTAGGTAAGGAAAGAATCAGAGAACTTCCCCTTCTCTCTAAACCTGGCTGCCGCAGTACATTTTTTTTTTTTGATATCAGTGAGTGTCCGGACCAGCTTACGCGCACCTCGACTAATCTCACAAGACAACCGTCTGATCCTACAACATTTTGGTGTCGTGAAACACAAATGAATTACTAATTCCTAAGGTAGATGGCCATCATGGGATTTGAACCCATTACTTATAAGATGAAAGGCTTAAGGGCCTTAAGTTTTTGCCACTCATCTTGCAATGAGAAGAACTTATCTTGATTACAAGATGAACGATAGCAAACCCATAATCTAGTCATCTCACAACAGAGGATTGGATCCTAATTTTAAAATGAAACCCTTGTGTTCTTCATTGATAAAAAGAAATCAAGGTCCAACAAGGGTCTTTTCCTCCACCCTTAATTCTTTGCAAAATGAAATAGAACCCACAATTACCACCCTTGAACAAAATTGCCAAGAATACCCAAACCAGCAGTAAGACAAAAAAGTAAAAACCAATATAAATACGGTTCTCACCTAAAGTTAATTACATTGAAACAATAGTTAGAAAAAAGACTTGAAAAAGAACACCAAGAGAATATATGATTCTTTGCAAAATGCCATCAATCAAGCCAATCTAAAGCCTTTCCATAGGAACTTCTTGGTTGCTTTCAATCCAAATACTCCCAAGAATAGCTTTTACTGCACTAATCCTTAATAATTTAATGCCAGAAAGAAGTTGAAATTTATTTCCCTCCACCCAAATTTTTCTTTGCAAATTGTCTCCATCAATACAAATCCACCGAAAACCAACAGTTTTATCTTAGTTTCTTCAAATGAAAGCTAACAAAATCAACCGAAACTAGCCATCTGAAAACTCACCTCTTCAATAAGAAACAACAAAACCAAAAATCCTCAAACATTTGATTCATAGAAACTCAATTAGCAACAAACTGGTAAGGTAACTACATAACTTCCATTTCTTCAAGAGCAAGGGTGCTTCCGTTCGAAGATGAAAACATCAAATTTTAAGAACATTCCATCCTAATAACACACTAGCAACAAGTCATTACAGACAAGACCTGAGTTACTGAAAATTGTCCTAGAAAAAAGCAATCAGAGGTAACTTTGCGCGTAGAGTACAAAGAACTTACCTTCCCATAGAAAGAATACCTCTAACGTGTTTGACATCACTAAATTCACCAACAATAGTCTTCTTAGCTTGCTCACTTTGCTCCTCGTTCATGGGAGCTGATCTTCCCCCCACTACATCTGCCACTTGCGCCACAAATCCTTTATCAACCTGACAATGTAAGCTTATCTCACCAACGAATTTCCCAACGCAGTCACAAAAAAATAGAAAGAAAAAAAACGATCGGAAGTTCTAAATACCCGAAAGAAGTGATTGGTGTTATAGCATCCGAGACGAACAAGTTTGAAAATGTGGTCAACGGTTTTGGGCGCTACGTTGGGGAAGAAACCGAATTCGATATCGCCATAATTCGTCTGGGTAATCGAAAATGCAGTTCGATCCGTTAGTGAATGCTGCTACTGAAGTTCTACAGGGATTGAATTTTAATCAAGAGAGAAGGTAGGAATAACCTGAAATACAACACGAGCAGATCCAAGTTGAGAATCCTGAGCAGAAGCGATGGTGGAGAATGCAAAAAGTAGATAACCAGCAAGAATCGACACCACACCAGGTCTCTGCATTTTGCAATTCGTTGGTACAAATTGGCGCCTGATCAGGAAATTGTTCGTCAACAGTCAAGTTCTAGTTTAGCCCCTCAACCCAGCGGCCATTTTTTTTCTCTCTCTTTTTTTCTTCCTTCTTTTTGTTAATATATATATTTTTTAATTGCAGCGACCGGAAAGATTCGAACTCAAATTTTGAAGAATAGTTAAAAAATTGGAAATTTGAACCTCAATTCATTCATCGCTTAATTAAGTTTATATTAGCACTTATGCAGTTGATAACGCATATATGGTATCAAGGGTAGAAATAATTTGAGCTCATGGATAAAAGCAACTATGCTTTCTTTAAGATCAATGGTTCAATTTCATTCTACCATAGTAAATTAAAAAGAAGAATAATAATAATAATGGAAAGACTCAATATAGGTTCAGTCTCTGGTATTTAAATTTTTTTAATTTAATTACCTGTATTTTAACATTTTTTAATTAAGATCATCATCATTGTCTAATATTGAAATTATTTGATGATGAATTCACATGATATAGTGTTTATAATTGGACAGAAATTTAAAGGAAAAAAGAGGAAACTTTTCAAATCTCTCTAAATTTACAGGTGTAAATTTCAAGTTTTCTTATAATCTTTTTGTTTTCCCTAATTCATTGAGTATTGTAATATGTAAACTTACCGCCAGTTAATTTTAACATTTTTTTAACTACGAGGGACTAAATTAAAAAATATTAATATTTAAAATTATTTTTTTAATTTAATACCTTGTATTTTAACGTTTTCTCAATTAAGTTCATCACTGTTGGATAATATTGAAATTGGTTAAGGATGAACTTACCTCACATATACTGAATAAATAGGAGGGAATTTAGGTGAGGAAAGATACATTTATAAAACTTTTCAATTATGTTTGTGCAGAATTTGGGTTTAATCTAGAGGTCGACAGTTCCAACAAATACGCCTGCACATACAGAAATATGCACAGCAATGTGGTGCTAAATCCAACACCAATGGGAAATATGCATACAGAAATATGCACACCAAAGAATTCATTTGGAGAATAGCAAAATTGAGGTTGTGAAAACATACTTCGTGCCTCAGGTCTTTTCTCCTGTGAAGTAATCCTTTAACTGCTACTTCACCTCGGTTGTTATGGCAAATATCCTGGTGGACTGGACCAACCTGCTCTTTAGATTGTGGATAATGGGTCAATCTATAATGGCTTGTATACTGACAATCAATCTAGTACCACGAATTCCGCCATGAATGTCATGCGATATTGGCCTTTCTCAAGGGCGAGGGGGAGCTTGATTTTGTCCGAGAGAAACCCACTCCCTAACAAACCCGACTATCAGTGTTGTTCCATCTTTTAATTTGCTTAATCACCAGCCTAGAGCATTGAACGTGTTAAGAGAGAGAATATTAGTGGAAGCCTCATTGTAAACAAAACACGGTGGACTGTAATGTTGTTGATTTCAAGTGTTACCAACAGATCATCATTATGAAGGAGTTGGTTCTCTCACTCTTTCAAGATGAAGGTCGTTCATTAGTTTCTCTATATATGATGCTTGTATCGAAGAGCTAGTTAGTAGAAGGCTTTTTGCTGTGTGACCACACCAATCTTTTGTCTCTTAGGTCAACAATCAAAGTTAAACACGCTATGTCATCGAAGAGGCTATCCACCCTCAGAGCCTTAATTATCTGGAAACTAGACTACATAATCCCTCAAGGGACTCATTCAATACAACAGGTGAGTCGCTGATCTCCAAGGTCGTGGCTCCCTAAGAGTCAATCCACGAGGACCTGCCCAAGGTCATGGAAAGTGGCAAACATTCCCAACTTCTGTTGGTGGCACCACACTTTCATGGCTCACAAGAGTTATAGAAAATGCTATATATTTTATAGCATCATTATTTTATACCAAGTTCGACGAAGATCCCACCCATTAATTCAATTCCAATGAACATAAAAAAAAAATGCAAATTTTTGACTGGGTCTCAATCGTATATGAGATGGAAATATTTAGAAAAAAGAGTATATAAAATGCAACGGCACATGTATTCGTAAATTAATCTCCTTTTACAAACAAACAAAGTAGTGACCACATGTATATGTAGATCAGGGCGGATCTACGTTGGGTCTAGAGGAGGCTCGAACCCCCCTGAACTTTAAGAAATATACAATTAGTATTAAAAAGACTAGTGACGTGGTGGTTGTACAATGCCTAGCCCCCGTTCGAATCTTTTTTTTTTCTTCTAATTTTCACTTTGCTGTGCAAAAGTTCGGTCAATTTTTCTTTTTAATTTTCCTTCGAGTTATCTTCCATATTTGAACTTGAGACATTTTTATTTATATTATTTTCCATCTAATTTGTATTTTTTTCGCTTTATTCATGATTTTTCTATACTTTTTTCTTATTCTAACCTAAGTAGATCATAGATTATATAAATTTTTTAAAAAATGATAAATTATAAATTTTCTATACAAATATGTAAATTTTTAAATTTACCACACTTACTCTTTAATCCTACCAAAAATCTTTTTCAATCATTTGTTGTCTTTAATCTAATTAGTATAGGTATATTTTTATTGACTTTATAGAGTTGACTATTGAACTTATTATACACAGTAATTAGTAAAAATTTGGACTAGAACATAATGTTTTAACTATTTTTATACATATAATTATTATATACATAATTTTTTATGTTTTTATTTTTTAATTCTATTTTTATTAATGTTATTGTAGATTTAACTTAAAATCTAAATAAAAATGGACATATAATAAAAGTAACATTAGTTTTTGATAGATATTTTATATAATGAATTTATAAAAATATTGACAAATCCAAATATAATAAGAATAAATTGTTGATTATAATTATAATATAGAATTTGTAAAGCACGTTGAAAAAAAAAAACACTTGCTATCTCAAAATCATATTTTTATCTACTAACTTAACTCGTAAATTAGTATGAAGTCCCCCTCACTCTGATTTCTGGATCGTCAATGACGTACATAGCAAATACACCCACATAAATAAATAAACAAATTTATATATACGAAGGGCCAAGATAATGGTAGCAAGTGATAAAACGTAAGGCTGTGAATGGATGGAAACAGATATGAATGTTACCCCACAAAAACAAACACCATATGAAATTAAACTGGTGAAGTCAAAAAGCCTATCCAAAGCCATGGCTTGTGCCTACCCCAACGCCAACGCCCTCTTTTCCTCTCGCAAATGCAGAAACAGACACCGCCCCTTCCCCCTCATCACTGCCTCACTCCCCCTCCACCGCCGCCACATCGCAGTTGCAGCGGCGATCGCGATGGCGACGATGCACGTGACGACGATGCCGCTCGCGCTCGCTCAGAATTGGGGCACCCGCTCGTTCCTCAAAGAGCGGTACTTCGAGCCGGGGCTGTCGGCGGAGGACGCGGTGGCGAGGATAAGGCAGACCGCGGAGGGGCTGCACAGCATTCGTGACATGCTGGAGACCATGTCGTGGAGGTACGTCATCTTCTACATCCGTCTCAAGTCCGCATATCTCTCTCAAGACTTGAAAACCGCCATGGCCACGCTCCCCCAAGCTCGTCAAAGTGACTACGTCAAAGCTGCTAACGAGTTGGTCGATAACATGGCCGAGGTACGTTTATATTATAGAAAAATACTTGGCTCGATAGTAGTAAAGAGAAATTTTTAACGATGGCGATGACAAGATTTTTTTTGTTAGATAATTAATACATTAAACTGAATTTGGGTTTAATTTTTGGATTGGTGTTTCAGTTGGATTATTACGTTCGCACGCCCAAGGTGTATGAGTCTTATTTGTATTACGAGAAGACACTGAAATCCATAGACAATCTGGTGGCTTTGTTGGCATAGCTGCAAATTCAAATTCAAATAATACCCAAAATCGGATCGAAACGGCCTCATACTTCTGATTTCGATGTCATGTTTTAAGAATTTTTTAACTTTTTATTCAAGTACAGCACCACACTAATAATGTAGAAATTATTATTTTGTTTTTTCAATCTTGGTTATTGTGGTTACGTTGCTGATTTGTATTTTAATGAATAATTATCTCTCAGCATAATCGTTAGCAATGAAACTTTTTTTTTTTTTATACAAAGTGTGGGGATGAGAATTCGAACTCATGATCTCTTAGTCAGAGATAAGTGTTTTAACCACTTGAACTATACTCGATTTGACAATGAAACTTTTCGTGTAGGTTAGATCTCCTCGTAAATGTATTGCCATCAAAGTTTATAAAATATATGTACACAATAATAAACCMTTAAATAGGCTCAAACAGCAAGTGAAAATCAAGTAGTCAGTCACAATTTCAAGTCCGATATGACAAAAGGCCCAATATGATTTTAGAAAGGCCCAAACTTGAAAATGTTAAAATAATAACAAAGAAAAAAAAAATACTTAGTACCTATTTTTGTCCTAAGTACCAATATGGTATCAAATTTTAATGATTACGAAAAGATATACACTACCAGTAAGTACCTAAGTTTTGTTCAGTAACAAAATGATAATAAAATACAAACAATATTTAGATGTTTAACTCATTTCTGGCGGATCACAATTAAATTTAATTTTTTTACATATAGGAGAGATAAAGGTAGAAAAAGATATTTTTTTTTCTATTAAACAAAAAAACTAAATGACTATCAAATTGATTCGCGTAAAGTAGATGTTGGGATGTATGACTTAAGCTCGTGATATAAGGTAAAGCATTTAGATATAAATAAAATATATTTAATATTTGGATATGCATTTTGTCAATGAAATTTGACATTTAACGCTTAATCGCTCAGCTATCAAATGTGTTCTTAAACTTGGTATGTAGCAGACATACGATGAGGACACGTTTAAGAGCAATAGTTTAAATAGTCTATAGTAAATAGATAGGGTTGGAGATCTTATCTTAGAGACACTCTTGATACGGTCTACTTTGTAATTGTTAGAAATAATTCATCTAGAGCGTTCATATATGGTGACGTGTAAGTGGAGGTATCATATGTAACGAGAATTGGATAAATAATGGACCGTGATGTGTCTAGCACGTACAACACCCACGCCCTTGTGGTTTACAATTGTTAAATATAGTAATGATTTAAAAGTCCAAAAGCAAGTGCAAGTTCCCTTTTGCAAAGGTAGATTAAAGATGATATGATGTTTTGCCTCTACGTAGTGATGTTTTGTAAGGAAAAGACAGTGGCAATTTGATTGAAAAGTTTCTTATGATGATTTTCTAAATCATTTTCTTTTACTTTTAATAGAAAGTAAACCATGTTAGTACCATTTTCTCCAATTTGATTGAAAAAAGATTGGAAGTGCCGATAAAAGGGGATAACTTCAGAATGAAGAGGAAAAAAGACTACCAAGAAGGGTAAGAAAGTGTCGTGAGCCTTATGGCAAGATCAGATGAGATTTAACCTGTTGTATCGCTCCACAGTTGCTTCTTATATATTTGAATAAAGGCATGATCCTAACTAAAGAATATCAAGCGGAAATCGAAATCCGAGCGAGACAATCCCCGGCGGAAGATTTCGGCATGGACCAGTTCTTCAAGGACCCCCCGTCCTGGCGCTCTCTTTTTGAGCGACCCTTTCTTTCAGTTGGGCCTCTACAATYGCCCTAATGCGGGCTGGATCCCTTTCCCCGTACACATCCATATCGGGTTCGGGAGCCTCCTCAACGGGAACTTCTACTTCTTCCCGTAGAGGTACTTTGCCTAGCGTCTATGTTTGATCTTTTTCAGGAATTCCAAAGAATGCTATATGAGGAAAAGTCTATGGAGTCATAAATATTGAAAGAACTTGAAGAAGATGAGATTGAGCAAGAGAGGTACACCGTACCAAGGAGCTTACAAGTGCCAACAATTCAAGGTAAGAGTATATGTTTCACCTCGAGAAGAAAAGTACTCATTCAAGTCCTTTTGTTGTTGTAAGAACTCGGAAAACTATGCTCACTCAAGAGGTCAAAGAAGAAAGGAGTATAGAAATTTTCAAGTAGATGAAAGTGTCATGCGCATAGAGAAAGTTCACAAGTCTTCAATAATCATGCAAAGAGAATTGGACAATATATTGAGGCTTATTATTGGACTAACTCAAACTTTATTTGAGGACGAATCACGTTAAAAAATGAGGAGATAATACGATCATATGCAACAACTCATTTGATTCATCCAACAACGCCATGAAGAGGCATGCACAAGTCATGGAGACTCTACAAGGAAAAAGGACCCATTATGACCCACAAGTAAAAAAAATGACAGCTATATATATATATATATATATTTCTTCTTTTTAACAAGTAACCCAATTTTTGCTGCTCCTTCAGGCTCAAGCTTCTTATGCCAGGCCCTAATCATCCTTTAAGAAACGTGAAAGAGTCTAGTTCCAAAATTGATACCTCATCGATTATGAGATGAAATATTCTATAAGGTGAACGTAAAGTACATAACTGCCTCTTGCACTACAAATTAACTCACCTAAATATATGTCTAATTACCTAAAAGTTCCTAAGGGCCTAAGTACACAAGCACACAAGTACCCTTCTTGCACTACAAATTCACTTAAAAACACACTTAAAAACGTGTTTAAGGGACATAATAAAGTGTCTTATAAGTGTCATTTAGACTCCCAATCGAACCTAGAAAGTATCTCAGTTGACCAAAATAAATGGAACCTACTCATCACCCAACCTCCCTTTAACTCAAACTATCTAAAATTGTGCCCTAAGTGGCCAAAATGAATGAAACAAACTTATTATATAACCCAAACTAGTTAAAATGGTGATAAATTATTAAAAAATTACTTACTAAGAAACTTTTCTCCTTCAATAGTTGAAACAATCAATCCAACCCACATAATAAGAGAATATAGGAGAAGCATAGAAACGACACAAAAGATTTATACTGGTTCGCACAAGCAAAGGGCTACACTCGATCTTCCGCGACAAGCGGGTTCTACTATGATAGGATTGGTACAACGGGCATACAAATCTCTCAACAATAATCATTATTCAGGACCTCGACAAAAGCCACTTAGCTTTTAAGTACTACACCAATAGGAACCTAAGAATATAGGAATGAAAAACCTCACTAAATACTTGTGAGAACTGGTTGTAGACGATGCACTACAACTCCGAGGTCTCGTCTCTGTATCTCCACTAAATAACACTGTCACTGCCCTCTAAATTTGTGCACTACAAGTTCTGGCCACCACTGATATTGTGCAACAACACAACATTAAACCTAAATGAAAAACGAAAGTATTTAAATCCTCGTTATTGCAACGTTGAGATGCTGTCCAAAGCATCTCAACACTACGACGACCAAAAACAGCATCACAACATAATCGTGTGTCTGTGTCTTTTCTTTAATTTTGCAGCAGCATCTAATTTCATTCGAATTTCTCCAATCTTCCATTATTTTGACTCCACCAATCCCACCAGCTAACCAGCCAAAATGAACAAAACTCACATAACCCACCCCCTTGAGCCCAACCTAGTTAAAATTGTACATAATAAACCCAGTCCCTTAACTCAAGTAATCTAAAACTATTCCGAAGGTTTCATAATAAACCCAAAACACGTAACCAACCCCCTACTTAACTTTCTACCAGCATAGCTACCATTAACTGCAAGGTAGCCATACAATTCCATATACAATACACACTAAATCAAGAACCTTAACTCACTCGATTTTCTAATCTCAATTATGGCTACCACTACTACATACCTATACAAGTTAATAATTAAACATAAAAAACGACAAAACATATACAAACAAACATATAAAATATGATAAGTTTCAATATGATGTTGTAACATTAAATACATCATTCAAAGTATCAAGACTCGTGTAGCTTTAAGTCATACCGAGTTATAAGAGACCCTCTTGTATGCTTCTTAATGTACAATAAAAATAAAGTCTAAATCAAGAATTTTGACACTAAAAGGAGCTCAAAGTCCCTTAAACGTGCCTAAAAGAAATTTTAGGACCTTAAAAAATCGAAAGTGTTCCTAAAATAAGCCAAACATGCCTAACCCGATTCTAAATAATTAATCAAAACAAACCTAGGGCACAAATAACACACACACAAAGTAATTTCTCAAAACAAAACACTCATTAATAAATCAATTAATCTTCACAAAATAATAAAACAAACAAGAGTCATCAAAGAAATTGAATTAAAAGTAATCGGAAAAAAAAAAAAAAGATTACCCCCTCAGAAGATGGGAGAAATCAAGAGGATAGGAGAAAATGAAGGGAGGGAAAAAATGCAGAACTGAACCGGGGTTAAAGAACTTTTTCCAACAAAATCAACGAGTCAACCCATGTCCATATGTTATCGCATTTCTATTAGACGCTACGTTTTACTATGGTGATGATTCGTTTGATATATAAGTACAACAATTTGTGGGGTGAAGATTTGGATCCACAATTTTTTAGTCAGAGATATAATTAATTGAATTATGTCTAAATTATCGTCCATGGATATTATTTCTTTAATCTACCCGTCAGTAGATGAGGGGTGTTTTAGGACTTAATCTTTACTAGTTTAATGAAAGCCAACCAACTTTTGTTGTTCACCTTTGTTGGTTTATGAGTTGTTCGCAAATATTCTTATTATTTTATAAGTAAACCAAGCCCAAATATTTATACAATACACCTAAATACTTAATTAAGAAATATTTAACAATTAAGTAAAATCCAAAATTACTTCCATATGAAAGTTTCCAAATAAAATAATTAATATAAGCAAATATATATAAATTAGCATTTAAGTTGTAACTATTACGATTTGGCATTAATTAACCTATAATGATGGAAACAGAGATTCGAAAATCGCGGTGTTGTTCCCTCCACGATCAGTTTTAAGATTTCTTAATTGTGGGATTTTGCATGCAAATCTCAATATATATCTTCTGCATGCATATCATTATTTACTAATAATACTTCTAATTCAAATAATAATAATATATATATATATATATTTTTATATTTTTATATATACTACTTCCATACAACTTGGTTCAAGGTTTTGACTTTTGAGGAATGGGAATGGGTAAAGGTTTTTGAAACCT